TATAGTTAGGGTTTTTGTATAATATATATTTTTATATATGACTTTTTGTATTCTTTAATAATTTTATAATTATATAAAAAGTTATTTATTAGTTTAATTATATGAAATATATAATTTTATTATGTTATTATTTTTATATTTGTTTGATTAATTATTAATTATATTAATAAGATTTATTATAATTTTATAGGTGATTATTGTTTAAAATGGATGAATATCTTCATATGGATTCTCAAGTTGGTTCTAGTTTGATATCTGATTTCTCTTCATTCATTGGCAAAGTTGGAGAGGGAGATTTGACAAATAAATTTACCACAAATGAAATATTTCGTTCACGGGAGCACTTAATTGCATGGGTAAGAGGGATGACTTATGATTTAGGATTTGTTGTGGTAATAGTAAGATCTGATATAGCTACTGGTGTACGGGGAAGAAAAACGTTTGTCATACTTGGATGTGAAAGAGGAGGGAAATATCGGAAATACAAAGCCCATGTGGTGCCTAGTGTATACGGGACTCATAAATGTGAGTGTCCGTTTAAATTAAAGGGTAAACCAGGTTCAGACGGTGATGGATGGGTGTTGAAGGTGATGTGTGGACATCACAACCATGATTTGGCTGAAACTTTAGTTGGACATCCTTATGTTGGCAGGTTAAATATGAGTGAGCAGTCATTACTGGTTGATATGACAAAGAGTAAAGTTACACCTTCAAATATTTTATTAACCCTCAAACAAAATAATGATCGAAATGTCACAACGATTAAACAAATCTACAACGCAAGACAAGCGTATAAACGATCATTGAGAGGGTCCAGAACTGAACTACAACAACTTATGATGTTGTTGGATCCGGATAAGTACATTCATTGGAGTAGGTGTGCCGACGATTCAAAGGTTGTTACTAACCTGTTTTGGACACATCCTGAAGCGGTGAAATTATTAAACTCATTTAATGTTGTATTTGTTATGGATTCCACATATAAAACAAATAGATATAGATTTCCATTGCTTGAGATTGTGGGCATGACGTCTACAGGGTTAAACTTCTCTGCAGCATTTGCTTTCTTGTCTATTGAGCGACAGAGTAATTTCACATGGGCTTTGGAAAAGTTGAAATGTTTATTTTTAACATCTGAGGGTGGTCCTAAAGTCATTGTCACTGACCGAGACTTGGCTTTGATGAATGCCATTGCAAATGTATTCCCTGAGTCATATTAGATGTTATGTGAGTTCCACATCCTTAAAAATGTTAAAGCTAAATGCAAAATGTTAGTTCATTCTACTGAGGTTTGGGGTGTGTTGATGGATGCATGACACAATGTGATGGATTGTAATGATGAGAGCTTGTTTGCTGAGTTTGTGAATGGTTTTCAATACGCGAGCAGATCATGACCTTTGTTCTTTGAATATGTGAATCAGACTTGGATTATTCCGTACAGTACATACTTTGTAAAGTTTTGGACGAACAAAGTAATGCATTTAGGGAACACAACCACAAATAGGTATGTTGTAATGTTATTTTATTTATTTGTTTTGTAGATAAATATTTATTTGCACTTGTTGATGATTTTTTTATTTATTTCAGGGTTGAGTCTACTCATTGGAGTCTGAAGAAAGTTCTGGGCAATAGTATGGGTGATTTGTGTTCTTGTTGGGATAGTATTCATAACGTTGTTATCCTACAACACAACAAGATTAAGGCGTCATTTGAAAGAAGTGTGTTGCTCATGAGTGACCCTTTTAAAGGATACAAATATAAAAAACTTATTAGGCGTGTCTCTCAATATGCATTGGATCTCATTGCTAAGGAATTGGAAAGAGTGCAGCAAATAGGATTGGACTCATCAAAGTGTGGATGTGTATTGAGACGTACATTTGGTGTCCCATGTGCATGTGAATTAGCACGGTATGATGTTGGATTGATCCCTCTGGGTGAATTTCATATCATGTGGCGAAGATTGCATTTCTCAAATGTTGAATTAAATGAAACTGAGCCCAAGTTATCCATTAAAGATGAGTTGAAACAAGTACAAGAACGATTCAATGAGGTTGACATTGGAGATAAAATCACCATCAAGCAAAAGTTACTTGAAATTACTTGTCCTACATTGACATCAATGGTCCCTCCATTACATAAAGTCAAGACAAAGGGTGCTAAAAAAAGTAAAGTTCAACGAAGAGAAAGGTCTACTACGCGGGATCCATCATATTTTGAGTATGTCGATGCCTTTCATTCAACCATAGAATCTTCAACTGTGAAAAGTAAATTACAATCAAAGCCAAATGTAGTGAAGAAAAAGAAAGTTCCAATGATAGACCAGTTTCATTCTATTACTCACCCATTCATTGTGGACGTTGTTGATGTTGTGGCTGATGGTCACTGTGGATATAGATGCATTGCTGCCTCGTTGGGACTCGGAGAAGATTCATGGCCCGTTATCAGAAATGATTTGTACAAAGAACTCAGTCAATGGCGTGATGAATATGCAAGCCTAGTAGGAGGGTATGATAGACTAGAAGAACTGAGGAACTCTTTGTTGATTATGAAGTCACAGTCGACGGTAAGTGTTTCCTGTTTTATGTATTTTATTTATTATAATTATTTTATCTAACAACTTGTTTTATTCATAACAGGTTAACATGAATAAGTGGATGACATTACCAGACATTGGTTATGCAATTGCTAACCGATATAATGTCATATTAGTGTGTATGTCATCATCTCAAAATTATACTATCTTCCCACTACATTCCACCACCTTCTGATATAAATCAACATCGGTTAATTTGTATAGGACATGTTCATGAATGCCATTTCGTGCAGGTAATTGTATTATTTTGTGATTTCATTTCAAAATTACTTATAACTCAATTAACTATTGTAATTTGTATTGTGGCAGGTTAAGTTACAAGAAGATTGTCCTTTGCCCATGGTCAATACCATCTCCTCAACCCACTGTTATCTTGAGGCACGAGCGTGGTCATCTATGTATACTAGTAGGATGCAAACATTTGCACACCTGATGGGCGTAACGACATCTTATGTTGACTTGGGTGATTCATGATATTTATAAAGATATGTAAAAATACACTATTACTTTTTTATAGGTGTATTTTAAGCTTTTTGATGGACCCACACAATTCATTCAACTAAAATACTAAACATTTACTTTTTGTTAAAGTGTTTCCTAGGTGTATATCTCTCCCTTCTTTTCCTTTACGTAACTCCTAATAAAATATTATATACATATATTTATCTTGAAATAAGTACTACATGCAAGGATTTCATATAAAGTATTATTAATGGTGTATATTTAGATTAATACAAAATAAAAACGAATAATATAATCTTTGTAGAAAATTCTAGTACTGTACCACATTCATTTAACAATGTAAGTTTTATAAAAATTAAATTACAACTCTAAGCCATTAGTTGAAATAAACCTGTACACCATATTTATTAAACGAAAATCATATTAAATGAAAATAGGGTCAATGACATAATATACTTCAGGCCAAATTTTGGAAAATAAAATGATTTAACGAACATTTAAGGTAAACATTAGCGTATCCAAAATAACACAATCTCATGAGTCATAGTTTGTTAAAAAAATGAAATACAAAATCCTATCAGTTAGACATCGACCGTCTACCACGCACATGTATCTGCCCTCTCCTAGTTGGAGAATATTCGTCGATGCCCTCATTAGCAATCTGAAGCAGGTCCACCGACACCTGATGTGCAACAGTACCCTCGGTCACATGACGACACGATATCATCGATTGTAACATTCTCTCCATTCGCCTAAATCTAGCCTCCATTATAATTATATCCAACAAATAAATAAACATGGTTAAGAAAATTTAATAACATAAGCAATCAAAAATAGCATTCCACGACGCCAGATGGTGAAGGTGGAGAGGATCTACGATGGGGTCGTGCCTCCTATGGAACATCGGGGCACTGTGTAGGCGCAAGAGCCGATCTCGCATCAGGTGGAGCAAGAATAATATAGGGATGTGAAACCCTCCTAAACCATTGTATGTATCCATCGACACATTCATAAGGGTATGATGCTTGTCTCACATTCGTAATAACGTGATTCATGAAGTGCAACCACGCATAATCAACAGCGACTACATCTGCTTCTGCAACGACAGTGGGTGGTCATGGAATCTCCTGGTATAACCCAAACTGCCTCATCACACGCTCAGGCAAATGACGGGAAAGGGTGTCACTAATCCGAATCCATCCAGAATACATACAAATGCCAAAGAATGGACGAATGCCCCGATGTCCCTCATATGGATGCCATACAACTCCACTGTATGTCAGGCCATCCAACTGCGACCGAATCTCCGCAAGAGTCGAACTCTGCCGAGGGCTCTGCCACCTAGCCGCACGTGGTGTGGTCTCATCATAAGAAGACACCAACCTCCTCCTTCCCATGGTAGGAAAATACTCGTATGTCCAACTCTAAAAATGCAATTATTCAATTAAATATCTTTCTTCTTTGAACATCGAAATAAGTACATCAAATAAATGTGAAGAGTATATGTCTGTACCTGAAACAAAGTCAGAAATCCAGCCATCTGTTTCGTGGAAGCCAAACTCGCATCCCCGAGCTGGTCGTACAAATGGGCGAGTGTAGGAACACTCCAAGCATATATACCACACGCGTTACATCTATAAATAATAGAAGGTAAGACACATGTATAGAAGTGGCACTTTTATTTTCGAAAATCGTGCATCCTACTAGATGCAACAAATATGCTCTGGCAGCAAAGTCCCACTGTTGCGACTAACACCTCTGAACATATATCTCTCTTAGCCAGCTGAGTCTGACTTTCAGACCATGTGCATCCTCCGTCTCAACACCAGCTGCGCCACCATCAATGCCGAGCAGTTCTACAAGGGTTGTACGAGTCTCCTCAAACTCCAACTCCTCCAAATCACATAATTGTCCTAGTACTGGAAGGTGAAGTAAAGTGGAGACATCGTCAAGAGTGATCGACATCTCCCCTACAGGGACATGGAAACTACTTGTCTCAAAGTGCCATCTCTCTATGAAACCGAGCAACAAGCCCTTATCAACGTAATCATAGAAAATATCTGTGAGAGGCATCAAAGCAGAATTCAACACAATGTGTTGAATTCCTTCGGTGCACGGTCCTAACTTATTAATTTTTTTACCATGGGAGATCAACTTCAGTATCTCCCTTCGATCCTACACAACAATATTTAATATCAATTGTATTCGAAAAAAACTTAATAATTAAAATTTAAGTTATACACTCACCCGGCCCTACGAAATGCCATAAGCAACATGCTGAACATAGTGTGTCAGCAATGAAGCATCAAGTGGACCTCCAGGAAATCCACCGACATCCTCCTCCTGTATGTCAGGAACATCGAGATGTTCCTCCTCCTCATTATCGTCATGAGGAGCCTCAAATGCCTCTTCGTGAACAGGACCTTCATAGGCGTGATATGCCTCCTCCTCAAACACTCGGTCCTCGGCTATAGGGTCATCCTGAATTGGAGCTACACGTCTTCTCCGAGCTGAAGCTGTAGGTCGTCTCCTACCTTCACCCTGTGCAGAACTCTCTCCTCGAGAACTTTCTCCTGTAGAAGTCTCTCCACGAGAACTAAAAGATGAACCTCGTGTTCTTACCATTTCTGACAAAAATATTTTTAATTAAATTAATAATTATTTCATTAATTAATACTATTTTTTATTAATTTAATAATAATTATTTCATTAAATAAAATAATTATAATTTAAATATAAATAAATAAATAAATTAGAAAAAAAACACTGAATTTAAATACTCTATAAATTAATTTAAAATATAATAAATTAATAAAGTAAAAAAATAAAAATATAATAATTATGTAACAAATTAATTGAAAATAAAAAATTAAAATAAAAACTAATAATAAACTTAAAAGTTAAAAAAACTACAGGCAAAAAACAGATGTCGGGTATCCGTTTGGATCTGAAACGGATGTCGACATCCGTTTCAGATCTAAACGGATACCCGACATCCGTTTTTTGCCTGGTTATCTTCTTTCTTTTTCCCAACACACGCACACACAGAAAAAAACACAGAGTAGCGTAGCACACACAGCAGAGATATATGCATTGCATTAAAAAAAAAATTAAAAATATCATCACTAACCTTGTGGGAGAACGCACCACCACACCTCACCATCGCACCACCGTCGCACTGCCGCGTCGCACCGCCGCACTGTTGCACTGTCGCGCCGCGCACCTTTCCCACCGCCGAATCGTTGAAGAAGGAAGAAAACGGATATGGAGGAAAAATGGAAGATGAGAAACGGATGTGATGGAGTTTGGAGTTTGGGTGAGAATCTGAGAAGGTTGGGAGGTGGGTGAGAAGAGATAAAAAGATAGATTTTAGGGTTAAAGTAAATAATTAGGATTAAAAAGTAAAAATGTTATTTTTGTAATTATAAAAGGTTAGTTTTGTAATTTAAAAAATATGTAATAGAATTGGGGAGGTGGAGGGAGAAAATGTGGTGGTGGAGGGAGTAACACCCCATTCCACATAGCTCGCATCTTGCACGGGTTAATGATGGGGCAGGTTAGACTAACTCGTATAGTTGCAGTGTATGAATTATTTTCAAAATGTAGTAATATATTATGATGTGTAGATTTGTCATTAATTAAATTTATTTTTTATGGTGTTTGATTAGTTTTCAGTTTTTAACAATTTTACTTGAAATTTAATCTATGTTTAGTTATATAGATATATATGGAATTTCTAACGTATTTGTATTTAAAAATTAAAAATTATAAAATTGTGAATATTAAATAAGGTTATTAAAATCCTAATATTTTACATGTTACAACTGAAGGAAAAGTTACAAAAGTAAATAACATTTTATACAAACCAAATGTTATATACGCTAGTAAAAAAATTGGTTTTAAACTCGCGTTATAGGCTTCGGTTTAGGTGAAACCGAAGCCTATCAAAATGCGGTGGCATTTTTGTAGTTTAAGCGAACTTATACGTCTCGGTTCAAAATCAACCAAAGCATANGTGCAGGTAATTGTATTATTTTGTGATTTCATTTCAAAATTACTTATAACTCAATTAACTATTGTAATTTGTATTGTGGCAGGTTAAGTTACAAGAAGATTGTCCTTTGCCCATGGTCAATACCATCTCCTCAACCCACTGTTATCTTGAGGCACGAGCGTGGTCATCTATGTATACTAGTAGGATGCAAACATTTGCACACCTGATGGGCGTAACGACATCTTATGTTGACTTGGGTGATTCATGATATTTATAAAGATATGTAAAAATACACTATTACTTTTTTATAGGTGTATTTTAAGCTTTTTGATGGACCCACACAATTCATTCAACTAAAATACTAAACATTTACTTTTTGTTAAAGTGTTTCCTAGGTGTATATCTCTCCCTTCTTTTCCTTTACGTAACTCCTAATAAAATATTATATACATATATTTATCTTGAAATAAGTACTACATGCAAGGATTTCATATAAAGTATTATTAATGGTGTATATTTAGATTAATACAAAATAAAAACGAATAATATAATCTTTGTAGAAAATTCTAGTACTGTACCACATTCATTTAACAATGTAAGTTTTATAAAAATTAAATTACAACTCTAAGCCATTAGTTGAAATAAACCTGTACACCATATTTATTAAACAAAAATCATATTAAATGAAAATAGGGTCAATGACATAATATACTTCAGGCCAAATTTTGGAAAATAAAATTATTTAACGAACATTAAGGTAAACATTAGCGTATCCAAAATAACACAATCTCGTGAGTCATAGTTTGTTAAAAAAATAAAATACAAAATCCTATTAGTTAGACGTCGACCGTCTACCACGCACATGCCTCTGCCCTCTCCTAGTTGGAGAATATTCGTCGATGCCCTCATTAGCAGTCTGAAGCAGGTCCACCGACACCTGATGTGCAACAGTACCCTCGATCACATGACGACACGATATCAACGATTGTAACATTCTCGCCATTCGCCTAAATCTAGCCTGCATTATAATTATATCCAACAAATAAATAAACATGGTTAAGAAAATTTAATAACATAAGCAATGAAAAATAGCATACCACGACGCCAGATGGTGAAGGTGGAGAGGATCTACGATGGGGCCATGCCTCCTGTGGAACATCGGGGCACTGTGTAGGCGCAAGAGCCTGTCTCGCGTCAGGTAGAGCAAGAATAATATAGGGATGTGAAACCCTCCTAAACCACTGTATGTATCCATCGACACATTCATAAGGGTATGATGCTTGTCTCACATTCGTAATAATGTGATTCATGAAGTGCAACCACGCATAATCAACAGCGACTACATCTGCATCTGCAACGGCAGTGGGTGGTCGTGGAATCTCTTGGTATAACCTAAACTGCCTCATCACACGCTCAGGCAAATGACGGGAAAGGGTGTCACCAATCCGAATCCATCAAGAATACATACAAATGCCAAAGAATGGATGAATGCCCCGATGCCCCTCATATGGATGCCATACAACTCCACTATATGTTAGGCCATCCAACTACGACCGAATCTTTGCAAGAGTCGAACTCTGCCGAGGGCTCTGCCACCTAGTCGCACGTGGTGTGGTCTCATCATAAGAAGACACCAACCGCCTCCTTCCCATGGTAGGGAAATGCTCGTATATCCAACTCTAAAAATGCAATTATTCAATTAAATATCTTTCTTCTTTGAACATCGAAATAAGTACATCAAATAAATGTGAAGAGTATATGTCTGTACCTGAAACAAAGTCAGAAATCCAGCCATCTGCTTCGTGGAAGCCAGACTCGCATCCCCGAGCTGGTCGTACAAATGGGCGAGTGCAGCAACACCCCAAGCATATCTACCACACGCGTGTACATCTCTAAATAATAGAAGGTAAGACACACGTATAGAAGTGGCACTTTTATTTGCGAAAATCGTGCATCCTACTAGATGCAACAAATATGCTCTGGCAGCATAGTCCCACTGTTGCGACTGACACCTCTGAACATATATCTCTCTTAGCCAACTGAGTCTGACTTTCAGACCACGTCCATCCTCCATCTCAGCACCAGCTGCGCCACCATCAACGCCGAGCAGTTCTACAAGGGTTGTACGAGCCTCCTCAAACTCCAACTCCTCCAAATCACATAATTGTCCCAGTACCGGAAGGTGAAGTAAACTGGAGACATCGTCAAGAGTGATCGACATCTCCCCTACAGGGAGATGGAAACTACTCGTCTCAAAGTGCCATCTCTCTATGAAACCGAGCAACAAGCCCTTATCAACGTAATCATAGCAAATATTTGTGAGAGTCATTAAAGCGGAATTCAACACAATGTGTTGAATTCCTTCGGCGCACGGTCCTAACTTATTAATTTTTTTACCATGGGAGATCAACTTCAGTATCTCCCCTCGATCCTACACAACAATATTTAATATCAATTGTATTCGAAAAACACTTAATAATTAAAATTTAAGTTATGCACTCACCTGGCCCTGCGAAATGCCATAAGCAACATGCTGAACATAGTGTGTCAGCAATGAAGCATCACGTGGACCTCCAGGAAATCCACCGACATCCTCCTCCTGTATGTCAGGAACATCGACATGTTCCTCCTCCTCATTATCGTCATGAGGAGCCTCAAATGCCTCCTCTTGAATAGGACCCTCATAGGCCTGATATGCCTCCTCCTCAAACGCTCGGTCCTCGGCTATAGGGTCATCCTGAATTGGAGCTGCACGTCTTCTCCGAGCTGAAGCTGTAGGTCGTCTCCTACCTTCACCCTGTGCAGAACTCTCTCCTCGAGAACTTTCTCTTCTAGAACTCTCTCCACGAGAACTAAAAGATGAACCTCGTGTTCTTACCATTTCTGACAAAAATATTTTTAATTAAATTAATAATTATTTCATTAATTAATACTATTTTTTTATTAATTTAATAATAATTATTTCATTAAATAAAATAATTTTAATTTAGATATAAATAAATAAAAAATTATAAAAAAAACACTAAATTTAAATACTCTATAAATTAATTAAAAATATAATAAATTAATAAAGTAAAAAAAATAAAAATATAATAATTACGTAACAAATTAATTGAAAATAAAAAATTAAAATAAAAACTAATAATAAACTTTAAAAGTTTAAAAAACTACAGGCAAAAAACGGATATCGGGTATCCGTTTCAGATCCAAACGGACACCCGACCTCCGTTTTTCCTGGTTATCTTCTTCCTTTCTCCCAAAATACGCACAGACAGCAAAAAAACGCAGAGGAGCCCAGCACACAGCAAAGATATATGCATTGCATTTAAAATTTTTTTTTTAAATATCATCACTAACCTTGTGGGAGAACGCACCGCTACACCTCACCGTCGCACCACCGCCGCGCCACACTGCCGCACCGTTGCACTTCCACATCGCACACCGCCCATCGTTGAAGGAGAAAGAAAACTAATATGGAGGAAAAATGAAAGATGAGAATGATGGAGTTTGGGTGAGAATCTGAGAAGGTTGGGAGGTGGGTGAGAAGGGGTAGAAAAATAGATTTTAGGATTAAAGTAAATAATTATGATTAAAAAGTATAAAGGTTATTTTTGTAATTATAAAAGGTTAG